CAACGATGCTAACCACCAAACTCAACCAGACTCTCTGTAATTCAAGAGCCTGTAAGTCTGAAAGTAATAATATTAAGCAGGTTTTTTGTTTTCATGGCTTCATTAGATGCCATCTGCTGAAAAATCTGCTGATTCTGACGGGATCCGGTGGGAACTTTTTACAGATCTGGTTGATTTTACATGAAGTGACCAGAAAGCGATCAAGGCTGCTCCAGCATCTCCTCAACGGATCTTTCTCTGGTGTTTCCTGAGTTCCTCCAGCTGTGACGGAGCTTTTCTGGGAGTTTGTTGGATCTCACCTGAAGCTGTCGGTGGCTCCTCATCGTCCACGCACCAGCTGACGAGTCTGGATCCATAGAGAGACGACGACATGCGGTCGCAGCTCCCCATCTGCACGAAGAGGCACAAACAAAGAAAGTTTCACAACGAAGGCAGCTTTGACGCAAACTTCCTGGAGAGGCTTCCTGACAAACAACCGACAGCCGTGGTTGTAATCAAAGATTGTATCACTTAGAAAATACGCAACGAGCCACAGAAGCAGCTTCTCCTTCACCTGCTGAGATTTAGTTACTTAACTTCTTTAACTAGCGTGTGGAGGTTTGTCAGCGCTGCTGCAGGAACACGTGACTTTTTATCAGAACTGATAAGAGTCATAAAACAAATTAGAGTCTGAAGTCTGGGAAGTGCTGCTTGTGTTACCGCTGAAGACAGAAGCAGAAACGAACCACACAGTGTATTATTGAGGCCGGATTCTGTTCTCGGAGGCGACGTTTGCACAAATTTGGGGTTTTTCAACATCCATCGGTGGAGCTGCCGGAGTGGAGCAACGGGATCGTTGCCCAACGAAGAAGTCAGAATCTGTGAATCTGGAAAGTCTGCACACTCAGTTTTTTTTTGCTCATTAATTTAACAGCGTGCAGCTCAAGTGTCGCCATTCGAGCAGAACATAGCATCAAACTAACGGCACAAATTGTAATTTGAAGAACAAATGAGTCTATTTTCTATGAGATGTGCAGTTTGCGAAACACGTCTGTGCTTTTAGGGGTTAAAGGAGTTTTTAAAGGAGGTAAAGTTTCCTGATTTTAAGAGTTTCGAGGCCCTGAAGGACAACTTCTGCTTTTGGTTTCCGAACCTCCACCTGAGAAAAACAGCGACCTGACGGGGCTTCTGGCTCCATAACATATAAAGTGTTTACGGTAGAGACGGTGGCGTTGTGGCGTCGGGCAGTTTTCTGTCAGGTCTTGTTTGACAAAAGTACGAATGGAAGTTTCTTGGTCCTCTGCAGAGCTTGAAGTCCGTCGTTACGGCTACAAATTAAAACAAAACCTAATACGTTGGAACACAAACGCACAACTTCTACTTTTTACAAAGTCTTTAAACATCCTCTGTAATAAATTGCTGTCAAACACAGTTCAAATCTCACAGCGGTGTCCCGTTCTGCACAGAAATACAGTCAAAGTAAATCTTTGTTTGAAACTAAAACCAAAAAAAAACCCATCGTAGAGGTGACAGCAAAACCCGACGGTGTGAACTCATGGCGTGAAAACGTTTTTTACGACTTGATTGTCAAACACCAAACTGCTTTTTCTGCATCCATCTATGTTGGAAATGTTCGATTCAAGTGAGGAGACTTTTGAGGAATCGGGGATGTTTTGGCAAAGTGAGAACATTTTAGGAAAATAGAAATATTTGTACTAAACGAGGACATTTTTAAAAATCTTTCTATGCGTCATTTAACTTCCTGTTATCGTCTCACTGTCATAAATCACCATGAAATGCAACCAAAGTCTAACAACGGGGTTCTATTTTGCAGAAAATATGGTAAAAATCTGTCGCTTTCATTGGAGGCAGGTTAGTATAAAAACTAAAGATGTGAATTAACAAAAAGTTTTCATGTTTAGAGAAGAACCGGGATGATTTCCTGCATTGTGGTGAATGTTTATGCAGAAAAAGTGAGAACATTTGTATTAAATGAGGACATTTTTGCCCCTTTCGAAGTCTTTAAACCTCCGCTGATCTTCACACTATCATGAATTACTGCCACACAACCAAACTCTGACAACAGCTTCCTGTTTTCGCCAAAATACGGTTAAAAATCTGATGCTCGTGACTTCCCTTTTGTTTGTTTTGTTTTGTTAAAATGTGTTGATAATATAACTTAATTCTGGATGATGAAGATTAAACACACGTTTAATGACTGCAGTTCAGTTTTTTTTTTTTACATTTTAAAAGAAGAAATTATTTTTTATTTACAGACAGTTAATGTCGATTAAAGTAGCAACACTCTGTGAAAACAGCAAATGAGTCGAGTTAAAGTATGAAACAGTAATTCAGTCATTTTCTGCTGTAGATATTCAGTCAGTAACTTTGGGTTGTTTATTTGTCTGTATTCGCTTGATAATATAAGATAAAACCCAGAAAATGTAATACATGAAGTAAAAAATAAAGGGTTTTGAATCATAAGAGAAAGAAAAAGAAGACTTTAATATTTTGTTTATGATTTTAAATAAATAAAATAAAAAAAACAGGTCAACAAACATGAATTCGGCCGTAATTCTCTGAAGTCATATTTTTATCCTAAATGTAAAAACAAAAACTAAACAAAGACTTTCAACACTGACGAAAGAAATTTAAATTAAATTTACTCTAAAATGAATGAATAAAATAAAAATAATTAACAGTCCTGAGTTACGACAACTTCTACTGAAATTATGTTCGACCGACAATCTGCATTAAATTTGGGGACATCCAACATAACATCCATCATCTCTACACCTTAATCCTCACCAGGGTCATGGGGGGCTGGAGTCTATCCCAGCTGACTCAGGGTGAAGGCAGGTTCACCTGGACAGGTAACCAGTCTATCACAGGGCTACACTTAGAGACAGACAACCAAGCACACTCACATTCACACCTACAGACAATTTACAATCACCAATTAACCTCAACATGTTTCTGGACTGTGTGGGAGGAAGCCGGAGAACCCAGAGACAACCCACGCTGCACGGGGAGAACATGCAAACTCCACGCAGAAAGATTCCGGTGCCCCCACCGGGACGCGAACCGGCGACCTTCTTGCTGCGAGGCGACGGTGCTAACCACTGAACCACCTTGCAGCCCATAAAATCATGAGTTTCGACAACTTCTACTTAAATTATATTCGACCAACAAAATACATTGAATTTGAGGACAATCAAACCTGTTTTTAATTACTATTTATTTCATAACTGGAAGAATAAACACATGTTTAAGTTGATTTGCTCGTAAAAATTAGATTTCAAGCATCAAAAGCTCAAGTTTTTAAGCTGAAAACCTTTTAAAAACAATAAAATTTGGCGTTTTTTCAGCTGCTTTTAGCTTTTTTTTTGTTTGTTTGTTTGTTTTTGTTCATGCAGAGAACCTAAGAAAACATTCTATTCTTATTTTCCAACATTTTGAACTGCGGTCGTGTATTTAAATACTGCTGGTAAATATTTTTACTTTTACTTTAAATGTCGTTTGAATATTAACTGTGTGGATCTGTTCAAGTGTGTAAAGCAGGAAAATGAGGAAATAAATCCATTTCATTAAGTTAGCTCAACTTAAATGTAGTTTTTGATTTTAATTAACGCAGAAATGTGAGTTTAATTTACACACGATGTTAAGCTGAAGCAATCAGCAGCTCCACAGTGTGAACACAATCCCTTAAAATAAACACACGTTGGTCTAAATCAGTAAATGAGATGTTTTTCTTGAACTTTGTGTATCTGAGCGTAAAACCAACGTTAAACTCGAGCCGTTTCTCTGACAGCAGATCTTCCTGTACGAGAGCAGAAGTCGACTCTGATTGTGAGCGATAACGTCTTCAAAGTTTCCTGTTTCAGTGAAATTAGTGTTTGTTTTTTTAAAAAGAGCAAAACGCAATAAAAAGCAAAAAGCAGGAACAACATAAATTCACTCACCGAGTCGTGAACTCAGTGAAAACTGGAGCAGCGAAGGAACCGGCGAGACGAGCTGAGAGCAGAATCCATCCACCGGCAGCTGCAGAAAGGAAGAGAGGCGACTTATTATCAGCACTTCCTGTATTTAACAGGTTTCTACTTTCTGCGGTCGAGCTGCTCTTAAACACACCACAAAGCCGTCCTGCTCAATAAGCACAACTCTGAGTTCTCATTAATCCCCCAGAAAGCTCCTGGAACCGTTTCTAAACATCAGGATTCATCTACAAAATAATAAACAAAGTGAGATTTTATCCACAGAACACAAAAGCAAAGACAAATACAAACTGTTTTCATGAGCTTACATCCAGTGACTCGTCGGCAGGAGTTTGAAACGTTCCTCAGTTTCAACCTTCACATCGAACCAAGAGACTCTGATCAGCAGAAATATTGACGTGGGCTGGTTGAGCTGAAAGAGGAAGTTTGAGTCAAAACCGAGACCAAAGTAGAAGCAGCCGAGAATCAAGACGTTTCTGACCGACGAAGAAACCAGCAGCAGAGAGGACGAGTACAGGACGGCGTTCTGAGGACCGGCTTAGAGGATGAAGGACGTTTGAAGAAGGACGTTTTTGGTAATGAGGACATTTTTCAAAGTTGTTGTAAAATGAGGAGAAGCTGAAGACATTTTAACAAAGTGAGAACATTTTTAATAACTGAGGACATTTTTAAAAGTTGCAAAATGTAAAAAAAAAAAAATTTTTCCAATTATTTTTTTTTAAAAGAAATTGACGACGTATAAAGAAAGCGAGAATGTTTTTAATGATTGACAGCATTTTTTAGAATGTGTTGACATATTCTTTTCTTTTTAAAAAAAATAAAAATTGAGGACACATTTAGAAGTTGAGGACATTTTTACAAAATGACAAATGTTTTAGTAATTGAGGACATTTCTGTAAAATGAGGACGTTTTGAGAAAATTAAAAGTTTTGTCAAAGTGAGGACGTTTTAATAAGTGGTGACATCGTTAGTAACTGAAGAAATTGTTGTAAATTGAAGACATGTAAAGAAATTGAGGACATTTTAATAATTGAGGACATTTTTAGTAAACGAGCACATTGTTGTAAATTGTGGACAATTTTAGAAAGTGAAAAAAAATAGTTGGGAACACATTTAGAAAGTGAGAACATTATTAATAACAGGACATTTTTGCAAAAAGTTTTTTTTTTTTTTTAAAGGTTTTTATTTTTTTAAAGAAATTGAGGACATATAAAGACAGTGAGGATGTTTTCAATGATTGACAACTTTTTTAGAATGTGCTAAAAAAAATTGAGGACGCTTTTAGAAACTGAGGATATTTTTACAAAATGACAAAATATTTTTGTAATTGAGGAAAGTTCTGTAAAATGAGGACATGTAAAGAAATTGAGGACTTTTTTTTTTTTTTTAATTTATATTTTTAGGCTTTATTAGATAGGACACAGAGAGAGAGTGATGGGAGAAGAATGGGGCAAAGGGTCATAAGCAGGACTCGAACCCATGACCACTGTGTTGGGGACTGTAGTTGCTATACATGGACACCAGCTCAACCAGGTGAGCTATAGCGGCGCCCCGGATGATTGTTGTTCATGACTGACAACTTTTTTTGGAATGTGTTGGCATTTTTTATTTTTTTTTAAATTGAGGACGCTTTTAGAAGAAGATGAGGACATTTTTAGAAAACTATTAGTTTTGTCAAAGTGAGGACGTTTTAATAACTGGGGACATCGTTAGTAACTGAAGACCTCGTTGTCAAAGTGAGGACAGGTTAATCATTTAGGACATTTTTAGAAATTGACGACATTTTAAGTAACTGAGGACGCTGTTGTAAAATGAGGACATGTAAAGAAATTGAGGACGTTTTCAAAAACTTACAATTTTTAAAATGTATTTTCTTAACGAGGACGTCTTAATAATTGAGGGCGTTTTTAAGTGAAAATGAAGATGTTTCTAAAAACTTTGAGTAATGACGGGCCTTTTAATAGAGTGACGACGTTTGTAGAGATTGCGGACGTTTTGACCAAATTAGGTTTTAATCACGTTTTTAGTAACTCCAGATGTTTTTAGAAGTTTTCTGTGAAATTAAAGAAATGTAAGAATTTGACGATATTATTTTAATAATTGAGGACACTGTTGTAAACTGTGGACATTTTTAGAAATTGTTAACAAATGTTAGTCACTGAGGAGGCCGTTCTGAGACACATTTTCAGACATTAAAGATGTTTTTATAAAATGATGGCATTTATGAGAAATGAAGCGGTTTTGTAAAGCGAGAACATTTTCACACAGCGATGACATTTTAAAAAAACTAACTGATGACATTCTTGAAACGTGTGTTCGTAGTCTATCAGAGTGTTTTCTGGAAAGTACAAGAACAGTGTAAGAAAGTTTGGATGGTTTAAAAAAGAAAAACAAAAACATTTGGGAGATTTTATAAAAATGATTTCTTTTTTAAACAATGACATTTCTTGGAATGTTCTGTGTCGTCTTCCCCCTTCAACACGTCTGTCTGAGGCTGAAGTCTCGCTTCATCGGGTCAACAGAGGTCCTCGCAAGTGTACAAGTCCCGCCGAGTGCTGCCTCATGTGATGTAATCAGTGATCAGAGCTGCAGGTCTGCTGAGTCAGCGCGGTTACGTAATCCGCTGAGTCAGCGCACTCATGCACACACACACACGTACACACACACACACACACACACACACCTTTTAACTGCAACAGCTGCCTCTACCTTCCATAAACTCATCATTTGTGGCTCATTTAGAATCATGAGCATCAATGTTCACAAACTCTGCTGTTGCTACTCTCACATGTTTTCAGATTAAACATAACATTAGTTAATTAACAGATGTGTGTGTGGATGAAAAATCACAGCTTCAACACCAGAAGCTGCCCTCACATGTGTATTTACAGTTTGTTTTTTCCCCCTACACCAACTTTTCTTCAAATTATTTCTGATGTAAACCTAATTTTTGTCGTTGTCGTGTCGTTTGGGTGAAGGTCTTGTGTGGTTGTTTTGGCCTGTTTCTGTTTAACAAAAAATATAAATAATTGGACAAAAAAAACAAAAAACAACATCATGGCGACCCTCACTGCAACAATGCATTGTGGGAAACGTAGGATTTATTAGACAAAGTGAGTTTTAAAGATGTTTAGCAAGTTTCAAGCACAAAATAAAACTCACATCTCAGAATTAAACTCATTTTAAGTCAATTAAATGGTTTGAATTGATCAGAAAATAAACAGTGAAAACTTGGAATGAACTTGGAATGACATTTTGAGCATAAAACACATGATTTCCTTCATTCTGTTGTTTTTATTGTTGTTGTTTTTGTTGTTGTTGTTGCACCAATTAAAGATATATTCAGATATGATTCATTACTAAAAATAAAAATATATAAACTAAAATAAGGCTACAGTAGAAGGCAATAACATTGAGGTAAGAACTAATTTCACACAAGAGAATGAATTTTTGCACCTAAAAAAATTTGATGAAAATGAAAATATTGCTCATTAAATTCACGAAGATGTACATGAAACTGAAATGCAGGAGCTGATTTTGCAAAAACTCTTTCAAAAAGCAACATTACACATGAATTACTGCTGCTTTCATTGAAGTAAAACGTGCTGAGAAGCTGCAGTGAAAGTTCTGCGTGATGTGCTTCACTTCTGGTCCAGCGGGTGTCGCTGTTTACCGACTTGCCTGTTGTTTAAAGCTGCAGCCTCCAGTGCGCAGCCGCAGTCATCCAGCTGCAGCAAGTCTACAGCGATGCAGTGAGACCGGAAACAGAGGCGATGTGTCTACAAAATAAAACCTATATTGTGGCTGAAAAATGAAAAAATCTGAAAATGTTGAAGATTAAAGTTCAGATTTAGAAAAACTGTTTACAGGTGTTGTTTTAACTGACTTTGGCCATCATCTAATGATGATGATAATAATAATAATGATCATGATAATACTCATAAATAATAATAATAATAGGGCTGCAAGGTGGATCAGTGGTTAGCGTCGTTGCCTCGCAGCTAGAAGGTCGCCGGTTCCTGTCCAGGTGAAGACACCCGGGATCTTTCTACGTGGAGTCTCCATGTTCTCCCCGTGCAGCGTGGGTTCTCTCCGGGTTCTCCGGCTTCCTCCCACAATCCAAAAACAACAACAGAAATAGAAACATATCTAAAAGAGAACAACTTTACTGAGAGTTCAGCTGTATTAAGATGCAGTTTCTGTGAGCACAGAGAGCAGGAGAGAAGCTAGCAGAAGTTCAGCTTTACCTCCCTACAGCCTGCTGTTGGCATCAACGCCCTGTCACACATGAACTCCTTCTATGGCACTTATCCAGGTTGTTTTCTTCTGACTAGATCCTTGCTTTGTTGCTCTCAGATGTACGTCGCTGTGGATAAAAGCATCTGCTGAATGGAACTGTAGGAACTGTAGGCTGCACTGAAGCACAACAACAAACAACAACAAACCCAGGAACAGGCCTTGTTTATTGGTAGCGTTAGCCACATTAGCCACACATCATGCAATCACTGAGGATTTTCCTGTTGTCGTGGTGAGATTATATTGCGAGCAATCCACTGGATGTTCAGTTCCTCGGATGCTGGGCGTGCATGAAGACTCTTGCGTTCACTCTTGCAGCCGACAGCAGAACAGTTAGTGAGCTTCACACACCAGGTGGACGGTGAGGCAGCTGCTCACCTGGAAGCAGTGAGGGGGCGGAGCTACACCAAGTCTGAGCTGGAGGTGATTAAGTCTTATAGGGCATTTATCTGCCCTGTGACGGAGTAACCTGAATATGTTTGACCCATAACAGCCCCCAAGAACTTTTTTTGATATTGAAATTTTGCACAATAAATGCCACTAACATCACTTTGCAGTTCTGTAAATATCTGTCCACACTACCTGTTTATATTATTATATTTCTGAACATATCACTGTGTTATTAAGGAGAGAAGTCGTGCACAGTGTCACTATATACCGTATGTTTTATTTGTGTTGTGACCAAAACAAGACATTTGAGAACTTTTATTACTGACATGTTTCGTAATTCACCGACATGTTTAGAGCAAATAACTAACTGATCAACTAGTTGGAGTGTTTTTTTTTTTTTTTTTTAAGGCAACAAGCGTGAACAGGAATTGCGCTGGCAGATGTTTTATTTTGAAATTTGATGACCGGAAGCCGCGCCGCTGCTGCGTGTTTGCCGCTTGACGCACCGCGCAGACGGAGGGCAGACGCGGCGGCGACGATCACGGAGGAATCTGACCGCGCGGCACGGCTCGGTTCTCCCGGGAAGTCAGAGTCCCGCTGTCCGCCCGAACGGTAGCTCAGCCCGGTGCGCTCCCTCCCTCCCTCCCTCTCTCTCTCTCTCTCTCTCTCTCCCTCTGTCGGATACAACCGGACCGGACCCGCGAGCAGCGGAGCGGCGGAACACGATGGCGACGCTGGGACCGGAGGCGGCTCGTCCCGCTCTCGGTTCTTCCCCGTCGGTCCAGACGCACCTCGGCGGCGCCAACCTGCCGCCCAACCGGGGCTTGGAGCGGGCGCTGGAGGAGGCGGCGGCCAGCGGCGTGCTCAGCCTGAGCTCCAGGAAGCTGAAGGAGTTCCCCCGGACGGCCGCCAACCACGACCTGACCGACACGGTGGAAGCAGGTACGGGGCTCCGGGGCGCACCTCCTCCCGGCGGCTGCACCGGGGGCCGGGGGCAGGCAGGGAGGGAGGGAGGGAGGGAGGGAGGGAGAGGGGACGCCGGTGCGGGGCGGCAGCGCTGCCCGGGGAGCCGCGCCTCCTGCCCGGATGGGTTGTGGGTAACTTTGGGCTCCTCCGTTAACCGGAATTAACGGCGGCTGAGCGGCCACGTTCACCTCCGGTCGGCCGGTGGGCATCAGCGGGCCTCCGGTGGAAATCCCCCCGAGCACAGCTGGACCGGTTCCCTCACAGCTGTTTGGATCGATCAGTGATCGATCAATAATCAGCTGCTGCTTAAAACAACAGCTGATTGGAGGTGATGAGATTTTAAACAAAAGTCTTTAATCAGTTCAGTTTATTCTATAAAACTATTTTCTACTATTTTAGATTTAAGTTCCAGAAGAAATCCAGTCTAATCTCATTAAAGTCTAATTTTAAATCAACCCTAAATAAAATCAAACTGGACATAAAGCCACCATCTGTAGACTTTAATGTGTCGTTTTATTTCTTATTTTCTTTAATATTTACAATAAACTGTGTTTAAGTCAGCAAAAATATTTTATTATTAGTAAGAGAAAAAAAAATCTGTTTATTATAAAGGACTGAAAAATATTAAAATAACAAGAAAACTCATTAATATTCACCTTAAAAAGCCAACACAGCATCAAATATGGATTTTTATTGAATGTGTTTAAATAAAAATCTAATTATTTTACAGACGAAAAAAGACAGAAAAATGGTAAAAAAAAAATTTCACTATTATTTTACATATTTCTTTTTTCCAGTTTTGTTAATTTACAGATAATAACAAGCAAAAGTACAGAAAAAGTGTTGATTTACATGTTAACTGTATATATAAACTGTAATTATATAATTATAATAATGTAATTATGTAATTATATCAATAATAGTTTTTACAAATTGCATTTTATTATTTAAACATTTTCATTGCAGTATCGAAAAGAAAATAAGTGTAAATTAAGGACTGAGAAATATAAATAAAAATAAAAACAGTTACTGTACAGATTTTATTTCTTTTGTTAAATTCATCATGATATTTATTAAATTAACAGGAAAAATGTGTTAATTTACACATCAACCCGTGTTACAAAGCAAACACGTTTAAGCATCAAATACGCATTTCTTCACTGTATTTAGATCGACAAATATAAATGTAATTATTGCAGAGATATTTGCGTAAAAATACATTTATTAAGGCTTAAAAAGTAGAAGAAAAAACACACATTAATTTTGTTTTTTTTTGTTAATTTACAGATAATATTTCATAGAGTCACAGGGAAACAAAAACAAGTATTAATCTATAATTTAACCCTAAAGCGGCCGGTCTACAGAACGTCTGTATTTGTCATTACTGTTACTTTCCTCAGTTTTACCATCAGCTAAAAGTAATATCTTTATTTTCACATGATTAAAAATGTAAACAAAAGTCCAGCATGTCTTGTTTTGTCCACAACACAAATATATTCAGTCTAAAAAAATAAAATAAAATTCCAAAAGCTGAAAATGATCACATTTAAGAATTTATATGTTTTCTTTTCCCTTAAAAAAACTGACTGATGATCCAAACCGTTGGCGATTAAAGGATTTGTGTTACTGGTTGCAGCTCGGCCGTCCCTCGAGCTTCATGAACAGAAACATCAATTTTCTCATTTTCAGAAGCTTCCCGCCTCCGAGCGCTTCGGTTGTTATTGAACAGCAGGTTCACGTGTTCAAGAGGTCCGGTCGAGGCCCGTTTGTGTTTGGTGCAGGTTCGTCTTGTTGTGGTTTGTCGTCTCAGCTTTGATTGAGCCGCTCTGCAGTTTTCCATCATATGGGTCCATGAGCACTGATTTGGTGAAACGGGTCGGTGACTCGGCGGCAGGCCACTCGTGTTGTGTCACGCTTTAAAGGCTCAGTTCACACAATATTCCTACAGATTTGTGTTCGTGGTCGACTGTCTTGATTCTGTCCATTAAAGAGCCCTCATTATGCTTTTTAAAAGTCTTTCGTGTGTTCTTGCTTTTGTGGTGCGTGATGAAGGTCTGCAAACTTACAAAACTCCCCAAAAACCCCGTTAGAGAGCTTTAAACAGCTCGGTTGGCGTTCAGGCGTTTCTTCTGTTACTTAGTGACATCATCGTGTAACTCAATTGCATACCGCCCGGCTGGTTCGGCAAATTAAAACGTCTTTTTTCACTTCAGATATTTGAGGTTGTAGATCAGAACCGACATCGTCTGGTGTGGCTCAGCCGACCAATCAGAGCAGGCTATCCTAGAACAGGAAGACAAACAACAACAATGATGCGTTTTTGAACATAAAACCTGTCAAATATTTGAGTAGACCCCCTGAAATGCAAGCTGTGAGTGCGCCTGACGTGGGCCCTTTAAGACGGATCCCACAGCACAGCCGGACTTCTTCCTGTGCGCTCGGAGCTGCAGGAGGAGGAAGGTCAGCGGCGCTCCAGTCGGACCGGAGAGCCTCGCTGACGTGATGCCGCTGCTGCTGCTCTTCGCTCTCCAACTTTGTTTATGTACACTAAAAAAGAAATGTGGCTTACGTAACCGCAGCGTTCACAGAAACACTCTGCAGCAGCAGCAGGATTTGTCCCAGTTTGTAAAAAGGTTTCTGCTCAGGAAACACAAACTCTCAGCATTATAGCTTTGAGGTGGAAGCATTCGTTAGTCGCTGCTTTGTCTCAGTGGTTTGTGTTTGTGTTTTATTTAATCACAGAATCTCTCATCAACACCGACACTAACACAGAGTGTCGCTCAGGACTGACTTTGTGATCAGTTATGATGATTTTTTTTTAACAATCGGTCAATAAATAATCTGTAATCTGTCGGAAAGTAGTGAAAAATAAGCAGCATCGTGTCTTGACTGAGTTGATTCAGCTCCAAATAGACTTTTTTTTGGGGTCTTTATTAAGAAAAAAACACGAGGAACTGCATCTTGTGGTTGCTTCCTGTTACCCATAATGCCTTGCAATAAGGGTCTGTTTTCTGCAGTTGGTTTAGATTTAAAATGTTGTCCTGTATTACACTTAAAAAATAAAAAAATAAATTAAAAAAAAGTGCAAATCTGGCAGCAAGTAAAATATTGAAATATAAAAAAAACGTGAAATTTTTTGTAAATATCTACATAATGTAAAATGATAATTTATTGAGATGATTTCAATACAGTAAAACCATAAAAGTAGCGTTTTATTTTCACTCTTTTTCTTTAAAAAAAATACAGATTTTTGATAGTGTCATTATTTGCAGGTGTCAATCAATGTTTTTTCCTGTAATTTTACAAAATATTTTCTGTAATTAAACAAAAAAAGGAGGGAAATCTGTAAAAAATACAGTAAATTGTAAAAAATAAAATAAAAATTACACGTGAAAATGTAAAAAAACAAAAAACAATCAGCACCATATTTCTTTACGTCTACTTTTACTTCCTTTATTATACATTCTATTGACTTTATTTATCTTTATTTTTTCCTAATTTGTCTTTTTTAAAAAAAATCTATTTTGTAATTTTTATTGTTCGGCATTCGTTGTGGACATTAAAGAAAGAGTTTCATATGACAGGGAAACATATTTCCTTAATGTGCATACGACAAAAAAACTTTTTAAATCTTTGAGTCTTTATGTCCAAAACCGGTCATGTTTGTTTTTTTAATATTTGTTTTGTCCAGATTTCCTGTGAATCTGCCTGAAACCAGCCAAACGACGTCATCGCTAACGATTCACGCGTCTAAATTAGCGCCGCTGATCGTTGACAGACTTCAGCTCAGACCAGCTACCAGCAGCTGTTCCTGGTTTCTGCGCTGCTGAGGCATTATTTAGTCATTTTAGTGAGTTTATAATCCGTCGCAGCCACTTTTCTCCCCGTTTGTTTTGATTTTATGTCCTTTTTTTTTTTTTTTTTTTTGCGGCGGTTAAACTCTTCACGATCTCCTGCAGATCAAACCGAGCAAACCGAACGCTTCCAGAGCCGATTAACGCACATTAAACGCACCGACAGCGTTCTGTAGCAGCAGCACAGGGCCGCGAGCAGAGCTTCAAATACGACGGATCACCTCAGTTTTCTTTGGATTCGTCCGGTTCACAGGAGTCCAGCTGGAGGTTGTGGCTTCCAGAGTGGAAACAGGCTGATTTAATTCCACCTGCTGGTTTCCGTCGCTGTTTCTTAGAAAGATAAAAGACAACAGGAATGATTTCCTCTGATCAGTTTGTAACTGGACAGTTTCTGGAAGAAGAAAGTGGATTTTCATTGATTATTTATTTTTAGAAAAATAAAAAAAATTGAAATCAGCACAGACGACATTCCTCCAAGTGTCCACAGACGTTCCCAACACTGGAATCAAATGGTGGTGACTCTACATACGACTTAAATCTAACATATAATGTAAATAACATATCGAATTTGCTTCCGTACTTGACACCGCCTGCAGTTCGGCCGAAAAAGTCCCTGAATATTTGTCACGTGACTGCCGGTCGTAGCCGAGTCGCTCATGGCTCCACGGTTGTGCCAAGCAGTGCAGAATTTTTTGTTTTTTACAGAATCTTCTTCGATCAAACTGTGTATTTTTGGCGGATTTTTAACCGAGACGCGTAGGATTTTGGTAAAAATCTCGTGGATTTGGTTTTAGTTTTTTAGGTGTGTTCAAGGACCGTGGGAAAGTTTTAAAGTGTAACGCCGGTGTTGTACAGTTTGTAGCTTAAATGGTGTCATTTTTGGCGATTTTGTCAAGACGAGATGTTTTAAACCTCCTGCTGGTAAAACGTCAAACTGGTGAGAGCACAGATTTAACTCGTTCCTGCACAACTCTGGAAACTCTGGTTGCTTTTATTCGTGTTTGCATGATCAGGACCCACGTCTTACGATGCAGAACCCTGATTTTCATTCACCGGCTGCGTTTGTTGCAGCAAACATGTAGCTGCTGCTTCCTCTCGTCGTGTGTGGACGAGCATCAGGAG